GGTTTGCCGACACAGGAACACGCAACATCTGAGAAGCAATCCGCATCTAAATCTAAACCATACTTTTCCAAAGTTCGACCTGGAGTATTATTGATTGTGATTCCGAATGTCAATCGAATTGGGAATTCAAATCTTTTAAATTGAATCATCATCATTAAATGGAATCATGGGAATTCTTCGCCTTTTAAAATCTTTTCTTACATTACGTTCTTCATAAATTTCTTAACTGCGAGTCGCATTCCGTTGCAGAGTTTTCGCTGATTAATATTCCGCAACATGATAACTGTCAAACCTATTTTTAATTTCAGTATGTGAGGTCTCCCTGGAAGATTAAATCGAGTTCAAAAATTTCGTTGGATGGTCTTTTTCCACAACGGTGTTTATCGACGTATATGCTATTTCCTCACGTTGAATGCTGGATTTAATAACATTAGTGGTATTCACCACAGTGATCAAGTGGTCTGGCAGTCTAGTAAAAGAGCTGATCAGCTCAAGCAACGACTGTTGTCAATACCACTATTATTTAGCTGATAGGCCTCCTTATTCTTCGCAGCAAGAATAGCCCGTTCACTGAGCATATCGTGATTCCTAAAATTAATTTTCTTAATAAAGAAACATTCTTTCGATCAGTTCTTCTTTCGATGTTTCTAATTTACAAAATTATCAGGCCATAAAATTCGTCTTAATCTCTCATTGACTGGCAGCTTTGCGTTCCCAATTTCCAGTTATTGTCGCGCGAATACTTCAGCTGCAGTGTATGTATATTCGTCTTGTCGCAATGTTGACTATTTCAGACAAGCATTTATCTCTCGTGTTAATCGAGAAACTACAGACAATGTTTTCATAAATTCTCCTGCGAGCAATATCCCGAATGGTTGAACCTTTCCACGCAAATCCCGCAACAATGGATCAAAAGCCTCAAACGATTTTTTATGTGCCATGGTGCACTCATCCCAAACAATGAATTTAATTTTTTGCTAAACTTTTTTTCATACCGGATGCTCTGGAAATATTCCACGTGGGAGTTTCGATGATTTGTATGTTCAATGGCAGCTAAAGAGCTGAATTGGCAATGTTTCCACCTGGTAATAATGTCGCAGCAATTCCAGACGAAGCGATAGCTAAGGTAATGTAATTTTTTGATCGAACCGTTGCCAGAATCTATCTGATAAGGAATATTTTGTTAGTTCCTCCTGGCGCATCCAAGAAAATGGTCCCCCAACTCCGTCATTTATCATTTGCATGTTCTTCTTCTACTTTGGCTTTGTAACCGCCTAAGCCATTTTGGCCGAGCTCCACAAAAAACGCCAGTCATTTCTCTCTGTGCCAACTTGGTCTCTCCATTGCCATGGGAGCTTCCTATTCGTCTGCTACCACCATCGGCTTGCGAGTTGAATTCTTTTACACCTGAAACTTCGGTTCCTATTGAACGACATGTCTAAGCCAGCGGAGCCGCTCTATATTCATTCGCTGCACTATGTACATTTAGTTGTAAAGCTCATACAACTCATCATTACATCGTCTACGGTAACATCGTCGCCCATGCGTAGAAGCCTGTATATCGTCCGTAAGATCTTTCTCTCGAATACTCCAAGAGCCGCTTCATAAAATGTTGTCATTGTCTAAGCTTCTGCGGCGTATAACAGCTCGGGCATGATGAGTGACTTATAGAGTGCGGTTTTTGTACGTCGAGAAAGGACTTTACTCCCGAATTGCCTACTCAGTCCAAAGCAGCACCTGTTGGCAAGAGTAATTCTGCGTGGGTTTTCCATGCTGATATTTTTTATCGGTGATAGTGCTGGTTCCCTAGTAAATGAAATTCTCCACTTTCCCGAAATTATAACTGTTAGCAGTGACGTGGGTTCCAAAGCGCGGAGGCGGTGACTGGAGATACTTCGTCTTGTCCTCGTTTACCACCAGGCGCATTCGCTTTGCTTCCTTATCCAGCTTGGAAAAGGCAGAAGAGACTTCGCTATTTTTGTTACCGTTGATGTCGATGTCATCGGCACACGCCAGAAACTACACGCCCTTGTAAAAAAAAGATGTTCCTACATGGTTCAGTTCTGCAGCTCTTATTATCTTAACATTTGCATCATGCGATCGTAAATGCTCTTCTGCTTTCGCTTTAATTTGGGAATCCTTGATTGGGAATAGGAGCTCACAATAGTAATGATATAGACAAATCGTCGTCGCGAGCGGACGTGTTTTGCTCAGCACCGTTCCTTTGTGATATTTTACTGTGACATTAAAGCCGAACATAATCATAAACTAATCTGTTTAGGCAATGTGTTGAGACAGTGACTCTTACAAATAATTATAATCATACATTTCGTGTTAAATTACTTAAAATGCCTTGTGTTTGCGGACAAAAAAGTAGATCGTTCGCAAGCCAAAATCCAGTGCGGTAAATGCAACGAATTTTTTCATCTGGATTGTGTTGGTGTTTTGCCCGCTAATGCAGAGTTTTTGGCTAGCTCTGACAAAAAGTACTTTTGCCAAAAATGCGCAGATGCTCGCCGAAAATCTATTCGCACACCCCCACCCTTCGTTAACCGTGTTGAGAACGGCGAATCTCGCCATCATCGAACTCAGCAGCTCTGATCGGAAAAAGTGCTAATGTCTCACAGCAACAACAACCACTAATCAAACAAACGCCTATCCAACATGAAAGCGGAACAACAACAGAGAGCAACCAACAAACGGACCTTCCGTCGCACAGTGTTTCGTGTAGAACAAGCTAGGTGGACAAAAACAAAAGTTTTATTCCTAGAATTTTGTATTGAGTAATTAATCATAAGACCAATATAACGGGGTATTTACACTTGTTTGTTATTTTCACTTCTAATATGTTGAGTAATTGAAGTAAGTAAGCAAGAGCAGTCGAAGTCATAACTGATTTATTTGAAAAATTTGTTTTGAATATTACGCTTCATATAACTTTAAGTCACCACTTCTACTTAATTTTTGTGATGGAATCTGAACTCAAAGGTAAGCTGAAGTTTTTGATTATAATCTTTTGTCAATTTGATTATTTTTAGTATGTCTAACATTCCATGATTAAGAAAAAAAAGATTTTTTATATACATTTTCAACTTCAGAGGTGGAAAAGTTATATGTCTCCTCATGTAACCCCTTGAAATCTTATATATATTATAGTCATGAGTATCTGTTAACACTCGAAACAAAAAACCATTGCGAATTCAGTGCACATCTATTTTATTTTATTTTTTTCAGATTTAGTTATAACCATAAAAAGAATTGAGTTTTTCGAAGTTTGGTTGAAATATTCGAAACAATCAAGAAATAAAGAGTTATTAAATTTTGTTCTATCAAAATATGATTTAAGTGAAGTAACGGAGCATTCTTTAAGAGATTTAACCATAAAAGTTGCGGCATATTCGTCAAGGCTTTCTGAGAAATGGAAGAGCTCTGGAAGACATCGGGGACGGTTTATAAATAAAAACTCGGAGTAGTTTTCGGGTACAGATATGACTTTTACAGTTTCTGTACATTTAAACTTGCCATCAGAACTACCAGCTACATCTTTAGGTAACCCAGGCCCTGGGAGACTAAAGAAGGACTTCATTCAACCAGTCAAAAAACTAAACGGCGTCGAGTGGATGACTTACTGCAGTCCAGAAGTGCAGATGAGTTAATTTATGCGGCAGAAGTATCAACACGTATGTCCGGCAACAGGAATATTGCAAATATTATAAAAAATGCGAAAGTTAACACTAAAGTATCCACGGCGAAAACAATATGTGAGCAAAGTGCTACATGTTTGAGCAGTGTAGAAGCTTTAGCATACTATGTAGATAGCAAGTCGACTACTCATGCGTACAAAATGACTCGGAAGTGGAGTATCCAAGCAGGTCATAAGGTATTTCCGTCGTTTTACAGTGTAAGAAAGGCTAAATCAGAGTGTTATCCAAACAAAATTGATGTGGATGAAACACGTGCCGAAATTAAAGTTCAAGCTATTTTAGATAAAAGTGTTGAACGTTTAATTTTAGCAAATCAAGAAGTTCTTAGTAGTTTGTTACCTACATGCTTGTCATTTACTCTAATCAGCAAGTGGGGTTGCGATGGAAGTTCTGGTCATAGCACATATAAACAAAAATTCACATGCAGTGATGACACTGATGACCTCGACCTTCTTCTACGATGTATTGTCGTCCAATTAAATTTATTTTTTCCAAAGAAACAAAAGATTTTATCGTTTCTGAGACGAACAAAGTATTAGAGGAGATAAATGCTTTGTTGCCAACAAAGTGCTTGGTGCAAGAATACGAGGTTTCTGTGAACCACAATATGCTCCTAACAATGATTGACGGAAAAACGGTTGAAAAACGCCCTATCTCAGAAAACTTTTCAAGAACGCCCTATCTCAGCTGCCGATTCAAAAACGCCCTATTTCAGCTTATTTTCAATGTATTTTCGTTCGAGATAGGGCGTTTTTGAACCGAATTCTCAGATAGGGCGTTATTCAACCAAATTCTGAGATGGGGTGTTTTTCAAAAAAAAATTCTGAAGTAGGGCGTTCTTGAAAAGTTTTCTGAGACAGGGCGTTGTTGAAAATTTTTCTGAGATAGGGCGTTTTCGAACTGGCTGCCGAGATAGGTCGATCTTCCACTCAGCCAACGATATGAAACGAAAAATCTCAGAAAATATTTTTGTCCAGCTAGCTTGTTCTAAGCGATTTACTGAGGCGTTGCATTGAAAAGTTCACTTAGTTTTTCCTTACAAATTCAAATAAGCATAGGAAGATAAAGGTATAAATTCATAGATTTAATTGATTTTCCATTGATAGCCTTCTTCAAACTAAAGATCTCTTAAACCTCTTTCGTTTGATACCCATATCGTAATATTTTATTAAAATATTTTATATAATCCAATTTGGGCTTTTAGAAGGGTGGCAACCGAAATAATATTTTTTTAATCCTCTTTCGTTTGACACCTATACTGTCATATTTTATTATTAAAACTGAATTTCACTTTTTCAACAGGTGGCAACCCTCTTAAAAAATGTTCCTTTTGTTAATAAAATTACATAAATTGAGTTCTTGGATATAGAGGAAACGTAAAATCTTAGAAAATAATTTTGTCCAGCTAGCTTGTTCTAGACGGAACACTGTGCAATGGTTTATTTGGACAGAAGGCGAGAAATGCATAAGAAGAGACCACTTACTAATGATATTACTCGATTTTTGAAGCCAGGGTAAGATAAAAACGTTTAATTATAACTATATTTATAAATATAATTATTTAACTAATAAAACCGCATTTTCAGACAGTGGACTGACCCTGAAGACAGGAGTAATGAGGATTGATGCATACAAAGAGCGACTGATAAGGACTTCGGTCATCATTCTCCTCATCGTAAAATTTCTGCTGAGGGTTAACATAGCCAGAGGCACCATCAAATCCAGTCGTTACCGACAACTCTATGCTATTCATAGCAGTTTTGGGCCAATCTGATGTAACAGCTACGCATAATCTTTCGGCAGTCTTTTCTAGCATCTGTTTTTCAGTGAATTTTCTGGGTATTAGCCACTCACCCCTTGTTTCAACCTCTAATTTAGGGGTTGATGGTATCCCAATAAAATACACCTTGCAGAAATAATTTTGGAAATTGTTTTCGCCTCCTATGAAAACACTTTAGAATGTTTTTCAGTGAATTTTCTGGGTATTAGCCATTCACCCCTTATTTCAACCCCTAATTTAGGGGTTGATGGTATCCTAATAAGGTTTTCCTTAATCTATATTAAATTTACTGCAATTAAAAAAAAAATTGTATCGGTATCATGATTTTCCTTTGAGATACAGCAAAAAGAAAAGCGAAAGGACATCGATTTCTAGAATTTTCTTGTTTTCAGCAACTTACCCGTTATTTTAACCTCCAAATGAAGGGTTGATGATATCCCAATAAATCAATCCTTGCAGAAGTAATTATAGGAATCGTTTTCGGCACCTATGAAAACACTATAAGGTTTTTCAGTGAATTTTCTGGGTTTTAGCCATTCACCCCTTATTTCAACCCTGAATTTAGGGGTTGATGGTATTCTAATAACCCTTTTCTTAATGTACATTTCATTTACTACTATTTAAAACAAAAATTGTATCGATATCGTGATTCGCCTCTGAGATACAGCAAAAAGAAAATCGAAAGGTCATAAATTTTTTGAACATGGTCAACTTCGCCCCTCATTTTAACCCGTCAAGTAAAGCGTGTTGACGTTCGCTTTAGTTTTCCTTTAACCGACATGACTTGAACTTTATTCACACAAAAAATTATTGCGCTAGCTCTTTTCCTTCTCGTTATATTAGATTTTAAACAAAAAAAAATGTGATTTAGCCCATAGTGGGTCGGTTTGGTACCGTATCTTTTAAGTCCAGGCTGGATATAAATTCTGCGCTAGGAAGCCTGCTCAATATTCCCTCAATGTGCGGCAATGGATAAGCATCCTTCACCATTATTGAGTTGACCATGCGACTATCCAAACAAAGCTTAACCTTCTCTGGCTTTCTTACTAGCACCACCGGCGATGACCATGTACTATTTGACTCCTCAATTACTCCCAGAGCCAACATTCGATCAATTTCCTGTTCCATAAGTTTCTCAATAGCTGGAGAGATTGGGTAATGCCGCTGCTTAATTGGTTTTGCCGAACCTACATCAATAACGTGCTCTACGAAGCTGGTCTTTCCTAAACCCTGTTCTTCAAATGAAGAAAAAAGTCTTACAGCTGCCCTAAGTTTTTGTTCCTGGATCGCCGATAATATGTGCATGTTGCCGTCGGCAGGAACGTCGATTAGCTCGCTAACAATATTGGGTGCTATCGCAAAAGATTTCCAAACGTTAATGCCTAAGTATAAGTCTTGGCTCAAGCTGGGTACAATATAGAAGACTAAGGACTTAATGGATTCCTTATAATTTACATTTAACTCGACTGCGCCAACTACTCTTTGATTACTGCCGTCGGCTCTATGTATGCTAGAATTTAGTTTTTTAATTTCGACGTCCATAGCGAGAACATCTTTAGCCAAAACTGAACCTATGCAACTCACCGAGGCTCCTGAATCGAGTACACCCAACACGTTTTTTCCGGGGATTTGAATAGCAACATAA